ATATAAAATGTCACAAGATACTGTTTATTTTGTTTTCCTTACTACACCAGCTACAAATTTTTAAATATTTCTGGCAGGGAACTTAGATGTTTTCTTCTAATAATAATGCTGCAGGACCAAAATAGTATACAGACAAACTAGACAGGACTCCAGGATATGTCCCTAACCAGTCTTCACAATGTGATGAATAATGGAAACATGGACATTTCAATGTAAATCTTGATTTGATTTTTTCCCCCAAATTTGACCCCAAACAGCTTTTTAAAAAACCTAGCCTCCTCTTTTACTTGAGATATGACTCTACTCTGTATACTATGGATGAGATGTTGAGAGAAAGAAAACCATCATGATTAAAATCTGACATTTTATTGAGGTATCTGGTGCCATCCATCTCACCCACATAAATCTATGACTGCTTTGCCTATCACAGAGAAAAATAGCTACATTTGAGTTCCCTTCCTTCCCACCATTTTAGGTAAATACATACCTTAATTCAACTGCTCTGCTAAGGTAATGGCCAGATTTATGGCCTTCTTCTACAAGAAGGTTGTTCTACCAATAAATGAGCCTTCCAAAAACACTCCCCTAGTTTTTCTGGGGAAGACAGGCAGTCATGCAACCATTCTTCCCAGCCTTTTCTGATCCACCAGCAGTCAGAGAAACTCAGGTGTTATAATCCTACAATGTTTTTGATGGTTCTCCCTTGGTCTCTCTCAGGAGACCTGTCCACAGGATCCTCTGGTAGCTTGGGGCTTGAATGTTTTAAGAGCAATGCAAAATTTCTTCATGTCCAGAAATATTGCAGGGTCAATGACACAGATATGGGAGGGTTCATGGAACACGGCCAAGCGCAAAGTGACACATAGATATCATGCTTCCACCATTATCTCTCCTTAGGGCATTTCTTAAAGAATATTCTTTTTATTCTCCCAAGACAGCTTCAATAATAAAACATGTGGGTACTTATTAGGATTGTATTCATCTAGCTCACAAAATTTTATTGTAATATCTACAACTAGTTAGGGCTAAAAACCACTTTTCGCTCACTTATATATACTTATAGTATGTAATAGCTGCTAGCAGTGATCTGTATTGCCCAATGTAATATAACATATATGTCTCTCTCTGTGGTTCACCATAATGTGCTAATAGTGAATACAAACATGAACCTTAAAATCTTCCAGGTACAAGGTTTGATGTGATTGTTTTGTTTTAACACCTGTGAGGTGAGTAAATGCAAAAACAATACTGCAATTTTAACTAACAATTATGTAAGCATTATTTACAGAAAGAAAAAAAAACCCTTAAAACCGTCTGCTAAGGGCATGCAAATAATTAAAGTACTCCATTCATAAATCTGCACCTAAGGGAAAGTCATTCTACTAGTTAATTTTATGAGGTACGAAGATGATATTTGTGACTATTTTGTGTTTCATTAACTCTGATAAGAACATATGAATATTCTATCTGATCTCTAAATTGGGAAAGTAAAAGTAAATATCACTCATATTTCTTGGTATTAAGGGAATCATGAAGTGGGAATAACAACGCCCTAAGAGAGCTTCTAAAGCAGGAACCAAATGGGTGCTTAGTCACATATACTATATTCAGGAAAGATCCCACATAATGACCTGAAGTTCTTGAATTTTTTTTTTCTTAGCTTGTGCAAGAAGCACAACTCCTATTCTTGACCCCTTGCCCTTCTGCTCCTCATCTGATTAATACAAGTCAAAGAAGAACAAAGTGAACTAAAATGACTTGACTCAGGCCTAATACATACACTCCACAGTCCTGCATGTGCAAGGCTGGCATCACCTGAACCCTCAACACTCCTGCAGAAGATCCCTCTGCCTTAAAAGTCATGCCTGAAACAGCTACAGGTTCACTGGGGCCATAGTACTGGTCAGAATCATTATGGAAGCTTTCACGGGAATGATGTGAATGGCCACCCCAGAATCGCACAGGGCACAGCCTAGGCGATGGCCTTGCCTCCACCAACCAGTAGTAGACCATTAAAGTGGAAAATAACACTGCAGCAGTTGATTTTATATTGATAAAACACCATTAAGTTAAATGTTCCCCCATCTCAGCAGGAAAGAAGTCAAACTGTAGAGGACACAACAACATTTTTATATTTTCCTTAGAGAAAAATGGCTAATAGGATATACGTAGCAAAAACACACACTGCAGTCCGCAGGATGGGTGAAGCAAAAATTAATGAGTCTATGTTCATCCCTCACCCCCAACTCTCTACACAAAGGAGTCCTTAGCCCACCATCCCATGAAACGTCACTGGGGACACAGGCAGCAGGGAAGCCTGGGCACTTGGTGCAGAGAAATCATAGGCATTTTCTGAGCCCCATTCTGGCATTCTGAACTGACTTCTATGTCACCTTCCAAATGCCACGGTTCCCATGCCTACCTTTTTGACCACATCGGTTTTTATGAGATGTTTGCTAGGGAAGGAAGGGGAGGAAAGAGCAAAGAAAGAATTCATCCCTGTTCTCATGAAGTACTTCATCAGGAAGTCTCCAGACTTCACCAGGAACCCTCCTGGTGAATCAACCAGACTTCACCAGGAACCCTCCTGAAGGAAAATATGGAAACCATCTTATGCTTGCAGACCCAGTGGGATATTGTTCAATGTGGTTCTGTCAAGGGTCTAGGGGCTCAACAGTCTCCTGCAAGGAGGGAAGAAAACTAAGACAGCTTAGAGAAGGCTTTTCTTGTTACTATGACTTTCCAAGCCCTTCTTACCCACAATTCTAATATTTCATTTAGAAGAATACATACAGCTTTTCCCACTCCTTAAGTACTGGTGTTAGAATCAAATGATATGAAATTCTAGTTTCTATGACAATTTCAAAATTATCTACTGCAACCATGCTTGCGGGCCTGAATTTCTTGAAAGCCTCCCTACCAGGATACTTATGCTTCCCCTTGGAGCCAAAGACTTTGAACATATTCCAAATGTGGACAGCCCTATTTAGTTTTCTTGAATAAAGGTGATTTTTTTCATCCATTTCTCTCTCCTGCACTCTGAAGCCACATGGAATAGCTAATACTTTTTTCACACGACATCTTCAAGTAGAGAGGACATTAATATCCCTTTTAAATCATGTCTTTTCCAAACTAAATTTCACTAAACTCTCTGTCCACTCCTCATGTAACATGACTTTCTAGTTCATGCACCAGTCTGGTTATTCTATTCCAAATGACACTCAGTTGTCTATATTTTTCTTAAAGCATGTTGTCTAAGTTGGGTGTGACCAATCCTAAGAGCAAAAGAACTTAGCAGCCTCATTCTAGAACCCTTATTCTCTCAATGATGCCAACTGTGGAACTGACATTTGGAACAACCATTATATATCCTATTTCCATTAAGCTTACATTAAACTCCTAAGTTTTGCATTTTATATTAAATTCTTGCAGCTCCCACGTCACCCTTCCTTAAAGACTTTGGACTCAAATTTCAGAAAGGATTGAGAGGATAATAATCTGGGGCTACTGTTTAGACCATTTGTTTCAGTGACTAAGTCTTATGCACTGATTGCTTCAGAATATAAACTGAAGTCATCCTGAATCACATCAGAATCTAACAACGTATACAGCATGGCTCATACAAAACTTACAAAGGAGATTCTGAACAAAGTATGTACAGGAAAAAAGGAAATAAAAATTTAAAGACATAGGAAGAAACATCCCCTCTGTATCCCTGAAACCAATCTACCACAAAGGAACTGCAAATGTGTGCATGATAGAATAACAAATCCCAAAGTGTACTTCAGTAAACATCAGCTATATAGGAACTTAACAGACATTAGCAGAGAAATGTCAGAATAAACAAAAATAAGTCAAGTAAGGATTTTCAGGGCTTAAATGTGCAAATGTAAATTGTGACATCTCAGACCTAAGGAAACATCAAAATTATCTCAAAAGTCTGTTAAAAATCATAAACTTCTGGGCCTCACCCTGAAGATTCTGCTTTAGTAAGAATGTGTTCTTCAAACAAGTATCTCAGTTGATTCTGAAGTTGCCAGCCAATGAGCCAGCTCACAGAACTACTGGGATTTGACCAGGGAGAAGCTGATGCTCACCGTTTTCCTGGGTACATACTCTCAGAAACAATATGCTAGATCCAATGAAAAGCATAACTAGTTTTTTCAAATAAGCTGCCTACATAACCCAAACATGTCTGCTTTTCTAATCCTATATAAGAAATGTATCTTACATAGTTTAAAAAGAACAATCTTGGGCCATGTCAACATTTATCCTGGTAGCAGAAACACTGTAAAACAATTATCCCTGGATGTGTTGAACTCACGGCAACGTCGTAAGGGGAAATTGTTTTGGAGTAAGCCAGATGCTGAGCTTGGGATGCATCTTATCCAGGACTAAATAACTGTAGTTCTGTCTTCGTAACCCTCGCATTTACTTGTCATGGAATTCATTGGCCAAATCAGTTATTATTATTTGTCTCCTTTTACTTACAAATGTACCTTAAAATTTCATTCTGAGAAAGCTTATAATTTGGGGAGGCAAACGTGAGGATTGAAAGCGCTTATGAATACAAACTCAAGCAAAGAACAACTGAAATTTGGCAACACATAAAAATGTCACATTACTGTCACAACAAAATTTTGCTCTTCCAAAAACAATATATATAGCTCCAAAGACACACACATATATCCACTTATAAATGCAGCACACACACAATCATTCTGGGAACAGCCAGCTACTATACATTGCACATCAACTGCATAGTGCAATTTATCTCAATTATTACAGCACAAATAATACTTGCCCTCCCTTTCTCATTAATATTCTCTCAAGAGATGGCTTTCTAAAAAGAAAAAAATAAATTCATAAGAATTTCATAATTGCAACATAAAACAATAGTCATATACACAGCTGATATCTAAAAATGTATTTTAAATCAAGACTAAACACATGGATTTTTCTCAGTAAAATATAAGCAAGCTCCTTTCTCTTTTAGTTACCTGCAAAATGTGACTTCCCAAATGTGCTTCAAATACTTCAATGGCCAGTGCACTGGGGCTTCTCCTTCGTTGTGCACCTATAACTTATTAAAAAACAAAGAAGAAGAAAAAGAAAGAAAAAAGAAGAAAAAAAGTTAAGTTGGAGCTCTGAATCACACCTTTTAATTTCTAATTACATCACTCATCTAGTTACTACACGAAACATCTGAAAGAAACCCAGCCTCGTGTTCATTTCGATTCTGCGTTGCTGAGCAAAAGCAGAGACTAGGCTAAATTTTCAACTCAGAATATTAATTTATGCAAACACTAACCAACTACATTCAGACGTTTGTTCTTTTAAATTTTCATTTTGGACTGTTTTTCCTACACTGGAGCAAAAACCTGAACGTTTACAACATTCCTTTAAAACAAATGGGTAAACTATTTTTCTTCAAACGTAAGGATTGTCATTTTTAAAGCATACGTGTACTGCCTCCCCCACCCCCTGAGCCATCACCCCAGAGACCTAAACTTTTCCTATCGTCTAGGCTAGGAAAAAGCAAACAGGAAAATTTTTTCACGTTCTAGGGCAATAATTTTATTACAATTTAATAAGCACAACATGTCGGATAAGAGATTCCGATTAATGACTGTTTGCACTAGCGTTAAATGTCTCAGGATGGCTGGATCTCATATTTAGCCAACACTCACATGCAACTATTCCTACAGGACCCACACGAAGCCCAGGCGGACCCTTGCCTCCAGCGTGCCTCACCAGGTCAGTGACCGTTTTCTTATCTGAATCCTCCGGTTCCCCTACTAACTTCTCGTTGGTGCTTCCCTTCCTGAATGCCCACCGTGTGTTGTCCGTGGGCACCTGCACTCAAGGAGCCCCCACCAATCCTCAACAAAGGGGAGCTTAATGCAGGATATTTCTCAGATCCAGGATCAAGGGTCTTTCCTTCACTAATATTTTCGCATGAGGTCATGATTTGCTTTCAAATCTGTTCCGGGTATTTTTTCTTTTCTCTTTCTCCTTCTCCTTCTCCTCCTTCTCCTTCTTTTTTTAAATAAGTTCTCAAACACAAAATTCTGCTTTACCATAATTTGTCAAGGATATATTTAGATCTTTCCCTTATTTCCAGCAAGTCAATTTCTCAAGTGTTCTTGCTTTTCTTGACAATGTTATTATGAACCTCTACCTTCCTCAAACCTACACACTATGAATTGAAAAAAAAAAAACAAAAACAAAAACCAAATCCCTACCTTCTTACTTCTAAGAACACTTTCAGCTAGTTGACAAGAAAATTCCAGCAAAATGCTGCTGGGATAATTCTGCTTCATTTCAGTTACTAAGTCAGTCAGTTGGATCCATAGCTTAGTAGGGATTATAATATAAATGTACTTATGATTATTGTGCTGTGCAGAAGTAGGCAGTTTACCCCCGCAATTGTGAGTTAGTGTCTGCAGTGTCTGAAAGGCACTTTGAAAATAGCATGGGTGTTAAGTATCATTATGACTGGCAAGAGGAAATAAAAGGGGCATTTTTTTTCAATGGGAAAATTTATAAAATATAATTGAAGAGTGATTATTATCAAAGAATATTCCAGCTGGAAGGGATCTTAGAAATCTCTATTCCAACTTCCTCAATTGCCTCAGAAGCAAAACACACAATAATTTTAAAATAGAAAACTCAGTTTTCTATCCTAACATTAATCTTTGCTATAAGTATAGACTTGGGATTTTTAAAAATTTAATATTCAGATATATTTAAGACACTACTACTGTGTGTGTATGTGCACATTTCTGATTAAATTCCTATTCTAACATGCACATTACTCCCTTCAAAACTCCTTTGGCATTTTTGATAATGCAGCTGTCTTGCTGAATACTGTTTTCAGTTTCTAGAGTGTTAATTGCACATTATGGTAGCTTGGTGTGAATGATCCCACATGAATAAAATCTGCAGTCTTTTTTTTTTTTTTTTAAGATTGTTGGGGGGAGCTTCTGGGAGGCAGGAGGGTTGAAAAACTTCAAAAGTGTCCACTCTCTTTTTGAGGCAGTAATTAGGATCCAGAAAACTCCTTATTAATAACAGTTCATAATTTATGGGCATCTCAGGACTCCCAATTATCAAGTTCAAAATAAACCACTGCACTTCACAGAAGAAATGGGCTGGTTTGAGAGAACATAGACTGTTCTCCAAAAAGCTGGATTCAGAAGAAGGTCAGGAGAGCAACAGCCACCAACCTACAGAGGACCCTAAAGCTTCACAGAAAATATAAGGAGAGGTTTATTTACTAGGAGGCCCAAGAGGCATGCTCCAGTAACAACAGATGGCAGGCCAACTGCCTCCTGGAATGATAGGAACATTGACTTTAGTGTAGTGCTGCAGGGGTTATTCAAGCCTGGCCATTGATGGCCTTTCTTTTCCTGCCTTTTCTTCACGTAGGGCTCAGGCTCTACTCTCAGTAAATGCTGCCAATGCATAAATAGTACGGAATTTTATTAAAAAAAATTATTAGTCAGTCTGGGGATCCCACATGTCTTCATCAGGTCTTCCATCCATGAGCCCTACCTGCATAGTTATTCTTCTTTGTTCCTCAGATCCTCTAGAAACGAAAGGGTGCGTCCCAGTACATGCTAGCATCACACACAAGTATCTTGTAAGTGGTTTCATGCTATTCTATCCCATGGCATTTTTATGGCACTGGAACTTCTCTTGATTTATATGTTTTGCACTTATGCAGGTGATGTGGGGCTGTAATGACAGTTCCTAATTTTACAACCAACATAAATATGTTAAACAGGAGCCCATTATGCCCCCGGTTGAAGCCCAGCTCTGACTCCAGCATTACTGGTAACGAATAGATGTTAAATATGCGCTTCTTGTTTTGTATTTTGTAGCCTATCGCATTTGGAGAATGGAGACAATAATCTGGTAACTCAGGAACAATGCAGATGCAGTTACTCTGTTCCTCTACGTTCATCTCATTCCGCTAACAGAGTATCATTAAAGCCTAAGAAAAACTAAAGAGGTGTTTCCTCCGTGAGTCCATCATTTTCAGCAAAGTAATACACAGCTTATGTATGAGGCTCTCTCAGATTTTTGATGTTTGGAAGTTAACAGTTTCTAAAACCATGTGGTTGTCTAGACGCAATGTACACTTATTGATGAATGGGTCACTGTTTCATCTCATTTACAGACATATTTCACTTATTTGTCTCCTCAGATAAAAGACATTACCTTTTGAAATTTAAAGAGCACTAATTAAATTAACCGAACAAAACCACAAAACAACACATTGCTCAACAAATGGAACATGGAACCCTTATCTGTGACTAATGTGTCCCTGACTCACGGACAGTGAAGTGTGATAATTGTGTTAATTGAACAGCTTATACAAACAGTTGAAAGAAAGAAAAAAAAACAGCAATACAGTAATTCAACTTCAAATCTGATTCAGCATTTACTGAGTATCAACTTGCTGTTGAAAATCGCTAACTACTGTAAGGTAGCTGGTGTCATAAATCCTTATAAACAGTCCAAAAGAAAATTGTAAGCAATTCAAAACAAACCTAGGCTCAGCACCTAATTATCAACAAACACCGCAACACTCATGTTTTGCCAGGGTTAAAAATAAAGCACCTAGAGTTTTAAGAGACTTTAAATGCAAGAAATATATAGAGCGAGGGATTTTTAAATATCAACCAGAGAAATTCTGATTGTTTCAGGAATCTAAAAAGATACGATGAATCATGAGAACTGTGAATTTGACTTTTTTCTCATTAAAAAATGGAAGACACAGAAGGAAACCACAATCTGAAACATGTACCTGAAAAATTAGTTCTGTCCCTCAACAATGTCAGCAAAAATATTCCAGTATAGACTCTGCCTAGCTCGTGAGGTGGTCTTTGAGAATTAATTCGGTGCAGTAAAAGATGATCCCCCTTTTGGGAAATAGACCACACACCCCCAGTCATATTCCTACCCAGCACTTGTCACCTTCGGGGATACACAATCGCCAGGAAGGCTGAGGATTAGCGCTCAGTGGGAGTTTGACCTATTCAGCCAAAAGGTCAGCTTGCCACAGAAGAACCCATTACAAAACAGAAACAGGACAGCTCAGTGGACACACATAATGAAAGAGGAAAAGTCTAGGGCCCTACTTGCCTTGTGTCCTGCACTGCCCTTTTCCTTCCTAACTCTCCCCAACCCCCATTTCCAGAAAGGGTGGAGCTGCCCCAGCTCCCAGCACGCAGGGTGGTTGCTGTCTCACCAGCACAGTTCACAATGGGAAGGTAAACCACAGGCAGGAGAGAGAAGGGGGCTTGTTTCTTAAGAGATCATTTGAAAAAAGATATGTGAAGAGGAAGATGACATTGTGAGTCAGGGTTTCCAAAGGATGGTTTTATTAGGAAGAAGTGGTCATTGGCAAGTAGGAAAGACCACGGCAGAGGCATTTTCACATCCAGCCCCCCTCCATGGGGAGCAGAATGGCAAAATGGATAAATGCAGGTAGTATTTCAAGAACAGAATCACCCACCTAGTAAAAAGGCAAACTTTATGGCTGCCCTCTGAACCCATCCTTCGAGGGGCAAGGCTCTGTTCCCACACTAAGCATGGGGGGTAGGGAGGACGTAAGGGCATGCTTAATGGAATCTCGGACATCACTCCCTGGGCTTTAGCACTTGGGCTGAGCAAAGTCAGGTCTGGGAAAGAATGAAGTATAGAATGCTTAATGAGTCTTTCCATGGCTACCGAAGAAAAGAAAAGGGATTTCCCTTGAAGAATCTCAATTAGCCTCCCCTCACTGTAGGCCAAGGGAAACCAGGAAGGGTTTTCCCAGGAGCCTAAGAAGTTTACAAGGAGAGTGTGTGTGCCTGTGTTTCCCTATCAAAATAACAATTTCTACGTCTTTACTTAATATGGGACCTAATCTTCAATCTGAAACTGGTCCTCACTGCTTTGCCTACTGCCCATATCACAATTTGCATCCTTTCAACCGTAAACCCTTCACTGGTTGTGCATGGCTTAGAAACCAAGGGAATTTCAGGTTGGGAAGGAGAAGGGACACTGGAAAAAGTAGAGCTCAAT